GACCTGTAGGAAGCGCATCCAAAATGGTATGACAGCAATAATGAAATATAAAGTATTGTAGACACCATGACTATGGCACTTGGTTTGCCTCCTTGAGTATTCTCCCAAACCATAGTAGCAAATGTATAACACAAAACTCCTTAAGGCTTGCACCTGAGACCAAACAGAATTAAAGATCTCAGTAAAAACTGCGTCATAAGTTATTACTAATTGAAGCCAATAAAGGTACAAGGAAGCTTTAAAACCTGGCTAGTAAGCTGGTCTGCCAAGAAAAAGTCTGGAAATGTCTCCTGCAAAATGAATGGTAAGACTTATTTATATTTAGCTCCATTGTCTACTTATTTCTATTGGATTGTTTCCCCATGCATTACCGGGTAAAGAGGGGCACATATGCAGCGGAATAAGCACCAAATGAAGAAGAAACGACTTGAACGGTATATGATGTTGAAAGGGCAGAAGGTGATGGCAAGGACCAACTGCACAGAGAAAGGTAACACTGTAATTTGCACAAACTAAGGAAGTTTTAAAACAAAGGCAACAGGCTTTACTTCAGTTAAAAAAAAAGATTACGCAGCAGAAATAAATTTTGAAAATCAAGCTTAAAGGATTCCACAAAGAAAACTTCAGCTACTTTTAAAAAATCTTACAATAAGTAAGCCCAAAGGAACCAATTCAGTGAGTGTCTTGTATTTTTCAGCACTTGAGTCCATGTCCAAGTGTAAGTTTGCCAGGAGACCACCCAATGCAAGTACTGCAAGACCAGAACTAAGGAGGAAAACTTCCCGGTAACCCAACTCAGTTCCTTTCTTGAAACCAAATATAAAGGCATAGTTGACTCGATAACGCCTCCAAAAGTATATATCTGCTGCATACATGAGCAGGTGTAGAGTGATGTATCCAAATAAACTGCAAGGAAACCCACTTACGTGTTAGAGAAAATACAGGTCAAATGAATAGTAGAACTTTTCATAGTAGAATACCAGAGGGCTATTGATTACCTGTAGAGTGGGAAAATATTTTCCAAGTACTGTGCACCCTCCTCCTTATCCATTAGTTTTCGAGCTTCTATTCTTAATATAATAGCAACCATTAGTGCAATTGAGCAACCACAAAAGAAACCTGAAAGTCAAAATAAAATAGGAATTAATTAGTGACACTGACAGAAATCCTCCTTTTCATACTTAAATTACTTGCATAAAGCACTGGAAAAACATGTTGCGCAGTCATCTTTGTATAAAATGGTTGATCAGAAAGGTTAATTGGCACTAACAATACTTACCGGAGAAAAATGTTACACCATGCTTTTCTCTTTTTGCTTTTGGTCTCAATGACTTCATACCTTCCCTGCGATTTGAGTTTGAAAAGTTTTGAATGAAGGTAGCCTCCGCCCTCTCCAAGAGGTTAGTAACCTATATAAAACGTAATGCAACAGTAACTGAATAGAAGATATTCATAAAACAATTGCATATATTGAATTATGAATGCTGAAATGATTAACAACAGAAGATCAGCAAATACATATGACAAACCTCGTCAGAACTGCCAAAATCCGAGTTATCGACTATTAGCATGTATGATCTGGCTGCTCTTCTTGATGTGATCTGTGGTTATTATCATGGATTTTTCATCAGAATACTTTGTTTCAAGAGGATATACGCAGAATTCTGACACAATTAGGTTTGAAGTGTATCTCTTACCTTCTCATACTTTTTCATAATCTTTGAAAATGCTGAGAGGTTCATAAAACTGGTTCATCCATTTGCAAAAGTGTAAGTACATAATACTTGGACAACCCAATCAAAGGCAAGAAAATGTATCCAAAGTGGAAGGCATGCTGACACAACAACTTTTTATCACCTGTAGTGCTTAAGCAGTTGAAGCTTATGGTAAAATTGAATGAACACAGCTCTTAGTCGTTCTTCCACTCTCTTCAGCTCCTCTTTATCAAAGCTCAACTCTTCTTCTCTGGAGTCTTTAAAAACACATTTTATGGTTGATATTGGAGATTCAAGTGTATTCTTAATCTTCACATGCTCAAGAACCTCCAGAGGATCTTCTTGGTAGTCATAGATATTCAACACCTCTCTGTCATCACTACCAGGATTTTTTATATGGGTTGGATTGACTTCTGAAGCACCGGGGCTCGGTTCTCGCTGATGCTTCTCATTTTCAGATGTCAAACCCATAGGCTCATTTCCTGCACATTTGGCAGGAAATTTTAACTAGATGATCTCATTAACAGATATTTGACTGTGATCATCAACCAGAACTTCATAATTAACCGCTCCTGATTAAGTGTTAATCCCAAAGAAAACCATCCAGTTTCAGATGATTAAGTGTTATATTTTCACAGCATGCAAGCCTTCTATCTAGCATATACATTCATATATAGCATGATCTTACTTCTGCATTTACCTGAAGTGTCAGCTGCACTTGACTTATTACTTGTCAGCGGCACTGCAGAATTCCTATGTCTCTTTGAATTAGAACCATATTGTTTTCGATTCTTCACTTTAATCCTGAGTGCAACCAAAGCCTCCATTTGTTTATCCAAATGATTTGCTTCTTGCTTCACCTCCTTCACCTTGTCCTTGTAAAAAGTATTGACCTTGTTGAGCTCTTCGTCGAGTTTTCTGAAGAATGTTACCTCAATTTCTCCACCCTCTTCAGACTGCTTCAGGAACTTGGTCTTGTAAAACTGCCTGCAACCATCTCCGTGCAATGTGTTGACATCTATCACTTGGTCCTCGATATCTCCATGGAGACTGCTAATTTGTAGCTCTATTCCACTGATGGTTCTGTTAGGAGGAGGAGCACCAGCAGCAGCAGTTTTGTGGTCTAATAAGTCTCTAGAGTGCTTCCTTTGCTTGTATTCTCTGAGCTCCCTTAGTATCCTCTTGAGACCATTATAATCCATGTAGGCTTCTGCCCACTCAGGCACCATTTTCTTCTTGAACTCTTTCCCGAATTTCATCTTTCTTGATGGTTGATTGCAAAAGTGCTTATGTTACAGGATTAAAAAAAAAAGCTCTTCTTAACTAACAGAGCAAATCTTCATGAAGCAGATAAAGCAGAACATTGACAAAATGGAGTTGAGCCAAAAAACCCAATGAGAGAATGAACTCAATACAATCTCATTAGTTTATTTATTGCAGTAATTTGTTTATAATTTACACGTGCACCCACATAGAGCGAGTCAAATCATCAAGTACCCAAGAAGTTGACGAAGAAAGTGAGAGTAAAATTAACAAAGTAATGTTAAATATACCTTTGCTTTTCATTTACTTAAACCCCAACTAAGAATTAATGCAGGCAGATGGGTTTTTCTCAGAGACCCATCTACGAAACCGCCATTTCCCCACCTCTTTCTTCGTCTCCAAGTTGCCAGGCCAGAGAGCAAGAGTCACACCAAGTGAAGTCAGTTGGTTATGCAGCTATATATATATATATATATATATATATATATATATATATATATGCAGAAAATAAAAGTAAAGAACACATTACATGCAGGCCCGTGACACAGCAGAATGCGAAACAGAAACAGTTTCTACACGCGTCATCACCGTAATCATTGGAGAGTTGGGTGGCTTGCTCTTGAAAAGCAGCAGCCTGTATTTATTTTTGTTGCATTGTAATTTTGTACGTGAAGCGTAGCGTCTGGCATTAATGATGCGGTGGTGCCCTCGGGATCTACCCACATGCAATTTTGCAAGGAGATGCTCTCTCATCAGCGTCAGACTCATCTCCAGCCTCAGCCTCGGCCTCAGCGTTGCGTGTTTATATTGGTAAAAATAAAAGATAAAATAATGCCCAAAATCCAGGGGATGTTGTTGTGGGTGATGTTTCCCTCCGCCGCCGTTCTTTAGCACCGCCATTCGTTATTCATGAATAAACTCGCCAACTTAAGCTTGGGCTTTTTGGGCTTTGTCTCTATGATTTCATCATTTCGTCTTCTCTTCTGAACCTCTCTACTGGGCTGGGATGATCCAGCTCATAACATTCTGGGCTGGGATGCTCCGGCTCATACTGTTCTTCTTGAACTTTGCATCCATGCATCATCAAAATAATTTTCTTATAATTAAAGGATATTGGGAGAGGGGAAAATGAAGATAAGTGGAACTTATTTAAATGAAACTTACATGCACCACCACCGTTGTATGCATGCAACGCATGCCTCGGATTCATTGTGATACATATACTATCATTTAATTGCACACATAACCATGAATGCTATGCATCCATAAATTGAAAGGTGTGATCGTTACATTACCATGCGGTGATGTGACAGTCATACTTGAGAAGTATTCCGAACTTAAAATATAATATTAATATATAGATATATATATATATATATATATTATAATATAAATAAATTAATAACATACGTGTTGGTAATTTGGTATAATCTCCAATAAATTACAACGGTTGAGGAAGTGAATGAGTCAGCAACAAGCAATTATTAACAAATCTATTTACGATTATATTAATTGAATGTGTTGATCAGTAAATGTAACACTTGGAACCCGACCTAACTAATCGAATGGAATGATTGACTTAGTTTAGTAATTTAGGTTTTGTTTTGGTTTCTTGTTAGATAAAAACAATGAAAATATTTTAGATGGCATCCCATAAATTATGCATATATTTTAGAAGATCTTCTGCCATAATAAGAATTTACTTTGATAGCAGCATTTTCCTCTTTGATTATTTTCCAGGTTCAAGGCCCAAAGCCAAAATAAAATGATTGCAGTATTTTGCATTCGTTATGTGGAAAGAGTATTGTTTTTTGTTAAATATTTTGGGCAGAAAATTCAAATATATTGACTTTAATTGGCACAGAAAATTCAAATGAAACTACCTGCGGCTGGGCTCTGCCTAATGAAAATGAAATGTGCCAGACTGACACGTTTGGAGCGTTGACGATGAAACGAAACCCGCTCTTTTCTAAGAATTTAACCGCCACCCCCGAAACAGTCTTCCCAGTCCAAACTCCCTCCTCCTCCTCCTCCTCAACAAGACATCACAACACAGCTCCATCTCTCTCTCTCTCTCTCTCTCTCTCTCTCTCTCGGCTCATTAATGAAAAGAATCCAGGCAGAGATACGGTGCTTGTGAACCATGTCGTGTTGAAATCCAATTGCAGAGAGAGATTCTGATTTATTAATGGATCTGAGTGTATCCAGGAGCAGGAGGCGAATATCACCGTATAACACCATCTTAGCCACTCTGGTCGCCCCATTGAAATCCGGGCTAATTACTACAATGAATTTGATGAAGATATTGGCGGCTCTTTTGGTCTCTCTCCCTGTTCTGGTCACCCTCTCTCTCGTTCTTCGCAGCCCACCTCCCGATCGGATCAAAGGCTTCGCAGACGCCAGAGTTATACAAAGACTCACTCGTAACGACACCTCTTCATCCAACTCCGGTAACCATATTCAAATTCTCAATATCCTTCAATTGTTTGACCTTTTTTTTCTGCGTTTGGCGGCTGAGAAAAAAAAATGTAAGAGAAGAAATAACAAAATCTCATACGTTGAATTCTTCATTTTCTGTTTTCTACATGCAATATTTATAATTTGGTTCTGCTGTGGAAAGTGGGTTACGATCAAAATTCCATCTTTTTAGCCATTTCACTCTCATTTTGTTTGTTTTCTGGTTTTACAATTACAATGTGCAGAAGATGGTTTCTCTGACCACACCCAGATGCCCAAAGACACGCTACACGATGGACTAATTGCTCCTGGGTTCGATGAAGGCTCTTGCCTGAGTAGGTACCAATCCAATTTATACCGAAAAATTTCACCCCACAAACCATCTTCTTATCTTCTCTCTAGACTACGAAATTATGAACATCTTCATAAAAAATGTGGACCCCATACCAAATCCTACAAAATAGCAATGGCACAACTCAAGTCTACTGATCAGGGCAACAGTAGTGTTGGTGGTTCAACAGAGTGTAAGTATGTGGTTTGGATATCTTACAGTGGCTTGGGGAACAAGATACTGACCATAACCTCTGCTTTCCTCTATGCTCTGCTCACAAACAGAGTCCTACTTGTTGACCCTGGGAAGGACATGGCTGATCTCTTCTGTGAACCATTTCCTGAAAACTCATGGTTGCTCTCTAAAGACTTCTCCATTAAAGAAAAATTCAACAAATTTGATCAGAAATCTCCTCATTGTTATGGGAACATGTTGAAAAACAAGAAAAACACTTCATCAGAATTAGTGCCATCATTTCTCTATCTCCATCTGGCTCATGATTATGATGAGCAAGATAAGCTTTTTTTCTGTGATGAATATCATAGTCTTACTGGGAAAGTCCCTTGGTTGATAATGAGAACAGATAACTACTTTGTCCCATCACTTTTCTTGATGCCCTCTTTTGAGCAAGAACTTGAAAAGCTGTTCCCAGAGAAGGAAACTGTTTTCCACCACTTGGGTAGGTATCTTTTCCACCCCTCAAATCATGTATGGGGGCTAATCACAAGGTACTATCAAGCTCACTTAGCAAAGGCAGATGAAAGGATTGGCATTCAAGTTAGAACTTTTGAGTCAGGCCCTAGCCCACTTCAGCATGTGATGAATCAAATTTATGCCTGTGTTTTCAAGGAGAAATTGCTGCCTCAAGTGGATAAGCAAAAACCCGTTGTCACAGCTCCATCAGGGATCCCAAAACTGAAATCGGTGCTAATTACTTCTTTAACCTCAGGATACTCTGAGAATATGAGGAATATGTACTGGCAACACCCAACTGTGAATGGGGACTTAATTGGGGTTTTTCAGCCAAGCCATGAAGGGCATCAGCAGACAGATAAGAATCTGCATGACAGAAAAGCTTGGGCTGAAATGTATCTCCTGAGTTTGTGTGATGTGTTGGTCACAAGTGCATGGTCAACGTTCGGATATGTGGCTCAAGGTCTTGGTGGCCTGAAGCCATGGATTTTGTACAAGCCTGAAAATCAAACAATGCCTAATCCGCCTTGCCGTCGGGTCATGTCGATGGAGCCTTGTTTCCATGCTCCCCCATTTTATGACTGCAAAGCAAAGAGAGGGGTTGATACAGGTGCGCTTGTACCTCACGTGAGACATTGCGAGGATATGAGCTGGGGCCTTAAGCTAGTCGGTAGTCATGAATTTCATGATCAGTTGTAGCTGCTGTTTTTCTGGAATGTAATGCGACAAAGTCATTTTTTTCTGGATCAGATTGTTGATAGAGTTATGTGGTAGAATGACTTTGCTATTGAATGTAAATCAAGTATTCTTTACTTTGCACTGCCACTGTTGCTTGTTAGAGGAGAGCTGAATGCCTGGATATGGATTTAACTACGATTTAAAGTACCATATTGAATGTATGCTTTTCCCAGTGAAAGGCAGCTCATCCTTTTCATTTGCCATCGACCCATCAACATACCACTTCCAAAATTGAAACTAACATTTTAACTATCATGATAACAAATGAATCAAAGAGTCATTATACACAAGTTTCTTACGGATTGCATTTGATCATATCAGTAAAGAGGAAATTATCATTTGCCTCGATCGAAAAATATAAAAATTATTGAACAAAACATGTTGCATAGTCCCATCACTGCCATGGGAGAGAGAGAGAGAGAGAGAGAGAGAGGGTGAGAGAGTTGGATTTCACACCAGTCATTAAACATAATGCCCAAAATACAAACCAGTATCTAACTAGTAAACATCATTCATACGGCCAAAGTTCCGGACTTGCTCCGTCAGAAATCAAGGTCTTAATTCTTTCTGCCTTCGCACAAGATAATATGGTAGCCATGCCTGCACAATTTCCCAAAACAACAAAATCAGCTAACTGTGTTGGCAGTGAGCATAATTAGAGTTCAACTTTAGGATATCTTTAAGCAGATAATCCAACAGTACATATCACTATACATACTCAAAACAAGATCTATGGAGTGGCATGAATTACAAATGATTGTTCAAATGGTAGCAGCCAACCACAATCAATAGGCAAACTGATGTGGCCTACAACATGGGTTATGCCTTATAATTTAATCCAATCCAATCTACTAACAACAGCACAGATATTGCTAATTAGCTATGCAAACAGGGCAATCTAACCAATTGGCCAAAATGGTAGCTTTAAAAAATTTGAAAGATTGGAACTTGGAAAAACATACGTGGATTTGAAAGGCGCACTGGTAGCCCCAATTGGGGTAGCAAAAGCCACCTCTTGAAAAGGGCCTGCCATTTTGCCACGAGGGAACCACCCAAGATCGCCACCTTTCTTCCCAGATGGGCACTCCGAGTACTCGGCTGCTACCTTCGCGAACTCAGCAGGAGGCACTTTGTCGCCATTTTCAAGCCAACCATCCTGCAACTTCTTGTAAGCTTCGTTGATTTTGCCTTGCTTTTCACAAAGTACGTGCCTTGCTTTCACGTAAGTGCAAGTGCCCAGCCCATCAGAAGACTTCCCAGATTTTCCCTTTCCTTTAGAGCCAGCCTCGTCGCTGCCACCCGCCGCTTGCTTTCCCTTCCCTTTTCCTCCCGCCTTCGCGTCCTTCCCCATCTTTTTGATTAATTAACCTAAAGAATTACACTTTTACAAAATTAACAAGCGAATTAACAAACCCAATAAAGATCTTTGACCAAATTAATTTCTTAAATCTTACCGATTGGAGTTTTGACTGCGGAGGGTTCAGTTTGGCTGCCTTTGCTGCCCGAGTGACGACGGTCTCGACTTTGGAGATCTTTTTAGACTAGAGCAGAGATGAGGGGTTGAATGGGATTGCCCTTCAATTTGTGGCATATTAACAATTTGACCCCTTTGTTTTTGGACCTCATAATGAATGGGCCCAAATATTGTTTGGTTTATTTGAGCCGGGCCTTGGAATATTCATATAGAAATTGGACCCCCTCTTCTTAATTTGGGAAGGACACGTGTGCTTAAGATGAAGGCTAGTGATATCTGTGGACACCCAAAAATCATCTGTGCACACCCTACCCTCAGAGATAAGTTTTAACGTATAAATTTGGAAGAATTACATTAATTGTAAATGACAGTTATTAAATACTTCAAAACAAAAAGAAAAAAAACTAATAACCGACATAGAATGTATTCCTCAATGTAGAAAATAACATATACATTCCTTGTAGCGATTGATTGAATTTAAAAGTAGGCCCATTTGGAATTTGACTCAAACTATATTTAGCAATGTGTGATTTAGCAATTTGGAAATCAATTTTCTCGCCGTTTCAATTGATCATTGAGATGGCTGGTGATAAAAGGAGTCAAAAAGATCACCCCATATACCTTCCTTGTGTTCATGGTGTAAGAACATCTTGCTTTTATTACTTTTTTGTAATATTTTAAATATAAAAAAATAAAAAAAAAGTTTGTGTAAATATAATGGTGATCGAAGCAGTAACCATTGTAAATGCAATGCACCAATACTTTCTCCTTTCACTGTTTCGATAATCAAGATCGACGAAAGATATTATTCTTCAGAAAACACTTCGCTTTACGCCTTTGAAAAAGACAGGCACGACGAACCCTTTACTTTGGTTACGAGAGAACATAAAATAAAAAGTGTATCATCAAAACTGAAATTGTGGCTCTGGCTCATTTGAACTCTGTCTCTCTTACCTCCTTGTCTCTCCCGAACTCAGAGCCTTTCAATTTTGAAAACGTGTCCGCATTTAATTGGTCTCAGCAGCTCATACATCACCTAATCCACTATCACAGAGCTCCTCCTCCTCCTCCTCCACGGCAGCCATGGATGCAGCATCACTAGCAGCAGCTTCTGCTACAACAATGAACGCCGTTAACTTTTTTGCAACTCCAATTACCCAAAGAATAGCTACCCACCTGACTACATTAACCTCTCCAATTCCTCACACTAAACCAAACCTACACGCTCTCTGTCTACCAAACTCTAACCCTAGAAGCAGAGCCATTTCTCTGATAACTCGATGCTCCATAAAGCCAGACACCAACACGACTGACAACGAGAAAGAACAGAATTCTACCGTTGAACCCAATTTAAATTCAGAACCGACAAACCCATCAACGCCCTTTTCAAATGATGCACTCTCTTCTCCTATATCAACCTCATTTTCTTCTTCTAATACCAAAGGATTGGTGTTGGGTTTGGGCTTTGAAAATTCATGGGACAGTGCAGAAGTTGGGTCACCAGTTGTGAAGAGGTTCCTGGGTGACGAGGAAGAGAGATGGTACATGTGGTACTATGGGAAGTCCAGTTCAAATCCAAACCCAGGTTTGGATTCGATTGGATTAGCAGTTTCAAGCAATGGGGTTCATTGGGAACGAGGAGTTGGACAAGTTCAATCGAGCCAGGATGTGGGTGCGGTGATCAATTGCGGCAAAGATTGGTGGGCATTTGATACTCAGAGCATTAGGCCTTCTGAGGTAGTGGTCATGTCCAGTTCAAAGGTCAGAGCTTCCAGTGCTGTTTATTGGCTCTATTACACTGGCTACAGTGCTGAGGAGGCAGAGAATATTTCTAATCATTCTCAAGAAATCAATTTGGAGAACCCAAAAAGGTTCCTTCTTGATGGTTTGATCAGTGATAAAAATGGTGGGATTGGGAAGATTTTCAAGTCTTTGCCTGGTTTGGCAATTAGTCAAGATGGGAGGCATTGGGCTAGAATTGAAGGGGAGCATCACAGTGGGGCTCTGTTTGATGTGGGGTTGCAAGGAGAGTGGGATTCTTCATTCATTGCTGCACCTCATGTTGTTTTCCATGAAAGTGGTGATCTTAGAATGTATTACCATTCATTTGATTTGGAGATGGGAAATTACTCAATTGGGATGGCAAGATCAAGGGATGGGATTAAGTGGGTGAAATTGAGGAAAATAATAGGGGGAGGAAGAAGTGGTTACTTTGATGAGTTGGGAGCAATGAATCCATGTGTAGTGAGGAACAGGAAAGATGGGGAGTATTTGATGGCATATGAAGGTGTTGGTGGTGATGGTGGGAGGAGCATTGGTTTGGCTGTGTCCCCAGATGGGTTGAAGGATTGGACAAGGTTGAAGGATGATGAGGTGGTTTTGAAGGCCTCTGAGGATTGTGGGTGGGATAACAAAGGGGTTGGATCTCCATGTTTGGTTCAGATGGATGGGGAAAAAGATGAGTGGAGGTTGTATTATAGAGGTGTTGGGATTGAGGGAAGGACTGGGATTGGAATGGCAGTTTCACAAGGGAGTGATGTTACAAGGTTTAGGAGATGCGCAGGATTTCATTTGTAATATATATGTTCATTGTCATATTTGTGTTACTATCAACGTGGGATCAGATGGAATCAATTGTTTGCTGATTTGGGTGTGTGTTCAAATATGAATTAGCATGTACGCTTTAATATGAAAGATCAATAATGTATCGATAACACGTTGATATGTTCTGTTATTGACATGTTATTGATAATTTTATCTAACACTATTTTGATAATCCGTCTCGAACTGCAAAATTCACACATTTTGAAGAATAACTGATTCTTCCATGACACGAAAACCAAATGCTATGAAGTTTTTTAGAATTTCATTGTTTGATCTAATCATGGTTCTACAAACGGGTTGATTTCTCCTTAGGAGACTCAAGATACAGAGGCCTGACTTTTGGGTGGGCTTGAACTCAAGGCCCGAAAAGCAATTAATTAAAGTTGAGTTTTCTGGTATGTGATTGGTCGGGGATAACAAAACAGTGTTATGCCCTTTTCATATAAGGTTTTGTACTTCTGGTTTGGATAAGGCTTCATATCTTAAAACATACTTTTTATTGATTTATTTTATATATATAAATTATATAAATAAACACATAATGAAATTTATCACGTTTTTCAGGTTACATTGCTAATTAATGGGCATATGTTGAAAATAGTAACATGAAGAGCAGTAGCAATAAATTTAACAGGCAACTAATCTATCATGGCAATTTATTAGACAGAATTGAATTTTTATTATGAGCTTAGAACTACCATATTAATAACATCTAAATTACTTGTTACATTTTTTCTTTCGTTGATCATATAACTTGTTATTTAAAACTAAAAAACAACTACTCTACTCCTTATTACAACTTCATTCGTTGCTAATTAATCATTGACCATTGCTGCTACGACTGAGTCATCTCCTAACTCTAGACTTTCAAAATTCAAAACACAGGCGACCCAGACGGTGAAGCGTTCACCAAATTGAGTATACTGTCCCAGTAGCTCTTGTTCTCCTCAAAGTTGCCGCCGGCGTTATCAGAGATCTCTCCGGCCAACGACGAGTTGTAAACCAAAACATCAGTGAAGCCCTCCATCATGATATTTGAAACTCCAGCTGGCATTATCACATTCCCCACCTCCTCATCATTCCCTGAATTAAACGTACCCTCCTCCACAAACCACGCCGGTGTAGCAGCACAAGCATCCATACAACCATATATAACATTAACATTGTCCTGCAATACCTCGGATGGAACCACAGGATTTTCGTTGATCCCGTTAATGTTAACGCCATTTTGCATTGGAGGATTAAGTGCGTTAATATGTGGGAAGTTCAAGGTGGATGTTGGAGACTCGAGGTCGTCCATGGACATCATAGAACCACCCGAAATAATTGTGCTGTTAACGTTTCTAACCGTGGGCTTTGTCGACCATGTTCCTTGCCATGCTCTGAGCACATCCAAACACGGCAGAGCCGGCGGAGCTTTGTTGATGACGTGTCCTTGATGGGTTGCGTCGGAGGAGCTGCTGATCAGGAGTTGGTTGGGGTTGGTGGTGGAGATGACCTGCAGCTTGGATTCTCTAACGAGCCTGGCTTCGGCTTCAAGGCGGGCGCTCTCCCACTGAGCCATGTGGCTTATGTTAGCAGCGTCCTTAGCGTGGCCGCTGCCGGAGCCGTGGTGGTGCCTCGGCTTGTGGGTCATGGGATCGATGCCCAGCTTGGTTAGTCTCTTCTTGAGATGTGTGTTCCAGTAGTTCTTGATCTCATTGTCCGTCCTCTTAGGCAAATGAGTTGCTATAGCCGACCACCTAAGATTAGTAAATAAATTGAGTTATTAGGAGACATATTTACCATTTTTGTTTAGAGAAAAAAATAATATTAAAAGTTTTGTTAATTACCTGTTTCCGATAAGAGCATGGAGCTGAATGATACTCTGTTCTTCTTGCAAACTAAACTTCCCTCTTTTGATGTCGGGCCTCAGGTAATTGGTCCACCTCAGACGACAGCTCTTCCCACATCTTTGCAGCCCTATTAATATAATACATACATATATATATCATGCATGCATGCACCCAAAACAAAGTGAAAAATGGATCGAATTATAAATGAAGGGGAAGGGGTTCTTAGTTGTGAGTTAAAATAATTACCTGCTTTCGGCGGCAAGGCACGCCAGCTTCCATGGCCATGGTGTTCGATGTAAGTCAAGAGCTTCTGGTCTTCCTCAGGAGACCATGGTCCTTTTTTCAAACCCACCTTCTCACAGCATGGTGACCTCCCCATCTAGTTTAGTTTCAAACCCTACCTGATCAGCACTCACACTCACACTCCCACAATTAGTATAGTTTGGGATTCTGGAATCCGAGAAAACTATTGGAACACCATAAAGGGTGAGGCCAATATATAAATAGAGGATGATATATGAATAAAGAATTAAATGTGTACCAGAAAGATTGCATCTTCGTGACCAATATGCCCTTTCACTACAAATGGACCTCCCTCTACAACGATGAGAGGTACACGAATGACCCTATGATTATCAACTTCCACTAAGAGTAAGAGGTACGAGTTCCAACCTCGGTTTTTATCTTATAGTAGCACTTGTCGGAGAAATAAGGGGTCACAATTAACTGATAAACTTGTCACAAAACCTAGCTAATTAAATTTCTTAGACATTTGTGATGGCGATGGATATGCGAAATTTCCAAAACTCTAATTATCGAAAAATGAATGGACTCTCTAAATGCAGAGACTCGGTATTCACTCCTCTGTTATATTATATATATAATATATAAAATTTGTAATTAGAATTTAAGTTAAAATTTCTTTTAAAACAAATTAGACATGACTTAATTAGAATTTAAGTATTGAATACTTAAGTGTTTTATATACTTGTATTTTCTACTTCCGTCCTTCGAACTGTACAATTCTAACTCCACTCTTGCATGTACACATGTAAAAAAAAAAATATGTGGATTTCAGAATTGAATGAATTATCTCATAATAACCTCTGCATAGTATTTATACACGAACCTCTCCTCAATTTCAGAATTGAATGAATTGTGTTGAAGTGGAGGGGGTAAAGTGGTTAAAAAGTGGTTAAAGCTTCTCAGGGCAATAAAATTACAAGCCAGAATTATAAATACGGTCCCCATGTGGTTATCAAACTACTTTTAATGAATTTATTGATGTTTGCTATATCCGTACATATGATTATGCATCATTAGATCAGCATAATAATTTTCACGTGCATGGAAATTTCTCTATAAATAATCAGTGTGGCTAGCTAGCTGCCTTGATTAAATATTTAGTTAATACATGATTTATTTCACACCCTTCGGCAGTTGAGAATTTGCTTGGAAATATACCAAGAAGCTCTCAATGGGTACCATATTGAGTATGACTCCACTGCAAACTTATTCAATATGTCCCCTCCTGCAATGGTCTTGTGGTCTCTGGGCATCCACATCACCCGCCCGCTTCGAACAACTGGTGTGTGTTTCTTTGATTATGGAAGCAGTGCTTCAATACTTTTTCTGATGATGTAGCCACTGATTTTTTTTATCAAATATCCTGATCTTGAGCACAAGTTCTAGTGTCCTACCGTAATTACTATTATAATATCAGCATTCAGTTTATGAATTAGTATATTGAGTGTGGAGGCTAAAGATTTTTTAAGTTGAATATTAACCCGTCAACTATGTTACTATGTACATCTTTTGCGTCTAGCTAACACGTGAACGCTTATTTGGCACTTCAAGAAAGTCATCCATCATACACAAGGTAGCGATTGTCACAACCCCTCTATAACCACTTGCAATCCTCCCTCTTATTTGTGTGCTTGCATTATTGATTGAGTTTATTGAAAAATATGTGTATATATAAACAAACAATGAATGAATTGAATGAATGTTGTTGATAAAGGGATACCAACTGGATGTTAATTCTAGTATCTGTCTGTACGTGTATGCTATAAAGTTTAAGTTCGTTGTTTTGGAAATACATTCGCATTTGTGTTTGCCATTCATTTCTATTGCATTCATTTATGTTTGTGGGGTCGATGTGTATGATCATACGCTAGTCGGAGGATGAGGGTCCCAGATCCTTGTGTTATTGGAAATATACAGAAATTCTCTTATCTTTGTGTTATATGTAATATACAGAAATTCTACTATGCGGATGTCCAAATATTATTATCGTGCAAACGCCATGTATTTTCTACTATCCCTCCTTGCTTTCCTCCCCGTTTACAATGGCATCAACAAGATAATAACGTTCGAACATTCGGATGAGAGAATAACTGCCTCTTATTGAGGGATCCTTCAAATAATTTTATTTGAGGGACACCCTTTAGGGTTCCCTACGCAATTTTTTTCAACGATCCAAACTATCTATTTTTTAAGTCTACATTCATTGATCATCCTAGCAAAAATGCCCCTTGAAACTTTAGTCAAATCCCACTTTACTCCCATGCCGTCAACTCCATCCAAAAATCTATTAACTTTGATGAAGTGTCAAGGATGTTTTTGTAATTTCGTACGTATGAATCATTATCCACCAAACCTCACTCATTGCAGATATTTAATTCTTTCCCATTTCATGTTTTGCCTTGTCAGTTGTCAATGATGCTTCTCCAAGTTGCTTTTGCTTCATCTATGATCCATCTAACCTTTTAATTGATTCAGTGTATTCTTTTTCATTAAAATTCACAAAGGAAATACCATTCCTCCCCCCCACCACAAAAAAAAACTTATCTATAATAGGTATGGTAAGTACTGAGAGAGTGGTCCAATTCAGAGGCTTGTAAATTCGAACGATAGATAGCCTGAGGCTCATAACTTCCATGCAAGATTTGGCTTCTTACTTATTAGGTTCTATCAAGATCACAGTTAAAAGTTAATCACCAAATTAACTTGCAAGAGAAATTGTCAAGAGCTAAGTGTTATGCCTACAAATCGACTTGCAAAGGGATCCCCGAGAGCTTAATTGCTACTTCAACATCTTCTATTTTCCCTTTTTTTTCTTTTTCTCCAAATATATTGGGGCATATAGGACATGACAGCATGCAAAATGCAAATGAAGGAAACAAATTTCAAACACAACAGAAATACCACCGAGAAAGGAATATTTCTTCATTGCAAATTATGAAGGCAATAATCTTTGATTGTTTGTCAATGAGGAACAGCTCAAAAGAAAGAAAGAAAACTCACGAAATTGTTAATTCCCAATCACAAGTTCGAGCTGGCTTGCTCTATATCACCACTCTAATCTTTGATGTTTGAATCACAACATGTAAGTAACAAATATTGGCACCTAAACATGCGAGGCATCCTTCAAGCTTGAAGAAGGAATATGAATACCATCTAGTATGATCACTCGGAATCTGAAACGAGAGAGTGGATGAAAAGATTCATCAGAAAGAAGAGAACCCTGCAATTTGTCTAAACTTCTCGTATGAAACCCAGAACACAAATTGCCAAGGACCAAGCCTTGCCCATGTAGGCATGAACCCTTTCCACAATGCTCTTAAACCCTCAACTTTGACAGTCTTCACCAAACAATCATAAGAATTGTTGTACATAATCTTCCCTTGTTTGCTTCTAGACTGGTTCATCATTCTTGTCTTTACCACATCGGCTGGACAACTCAAAGCAGTTGCTGAAAGGCCTGACATGATTGATGCCAAAGTGTGGGCATATATGTTATCCTCCGAAATTCGATTTTTGATAACAAAATGTTTCGCCTGATCATAACAGGCCAATTCTCCCATGTTCACCAAGAATGCTCTTTGGACATTAGGGAAAACCCCTTTCCAAAGTCCTCCAATGCCCTCCGATCGGACGATCTTGTTTAAAGCATCAAAGCACCCTGAGTACCTAGGTTGAAGGCCTTGGCTCACCATACGACCATCTGCTTGCATCCTCACCTTAACAAGATCTGCGGGGCTTGCCACCAACTGTACTACTAGCAGTAAACAGAAGAACACTATTACTTTCAAAGCAAATACAGAGTTAACGAAAATACAAAGCAGTCAGCCTAATCAATTATTGGACCATTCGATTGGCAAAGAAATGCACAGCACAACCAAGTAGGCCAACCTAACATGGATTATCATGTGGAAAAGCTGCATTTAAATATCAAGAGTGTAAAATGCAGTGAAGTTTTGTATATATAAATTCATATGCATGTCAAAGTATGAGATTGAAGCAAATTCAATGTGAATATAATGTGACAAAACTGCATTACTAATCTTCAGAAGAGTTCGATAGATTCTATAGTTCAACGCCCCGAACTTTCTTACAGAGCACACAAATTCAAAGCTCAAGCATTCATTTTCTCAATGTCAATTCGAACAAGCTTGCATTTTTAAACTTATCAATTTTCTCTAAAATGAATCGTTGACACTATTACTTGCAATTTCCCTTCTTGACCCAAAAAAAAACTAAAAAAATCTTTCAATCTCCCTAGTCCAAAAACTTATCAAATTACACATCCGAATTATTTTTTTCGAAAAGGGACCCAACCCAATAAGTTTGACACAATAAGAAAGCAAGTTACCTGAGCAACGACGCCGGAAATCCCACCGGAGAGAGCTTTAGCGGGGAGAGAGAGGGACGCACCTTCGGTTTTCAGTGAGCTTCTGAGGTGCTCGTACCCGACGATCCGAATTGGCGTGTAGAAGAGGTGTCTGAGAATCGCAGGAGACAATCCCTTGTACAGCCCAAGAGGGCCTTGCTGCCGCACGATCTCCGAGGCCACTAGGAACCCGTTGGTGGGCCGAACCGATCCCACCGACACCGACTCGCCGTGCAGCTGGAGCCTAGTCTTTGTCAGGTCTATCGGAAACGTCGTCGTCTCCGCCACCATGGCTGAGATCGACGCGAGTAAGATCTTCCTGTAGGCCCCATGATCTTCGCTCGGTTTCATCGTCGACGGAACTATAAAATTGAAGAAGAACGACCGAAAATCAGTTAAAGGATAATCTAATAGATTGGGAAACGACATCAAGTTATAAAATTGAACGACAGTGTGTTACATGTCGTTTTAGTAGGAAATGACTGTTTATGAGGGGGTGGCAATTTCCGATACGACCCATTACACGACTCGAAACCCGCAAGGAAAAAACACAACACGAACCCGCACGATTAAAAAACGGGTCATTTTCGAGTCAACCCGCCAATGACCCATTTATAAACGAATGGGTTTCAAGTCAACCCGCCAACCCACTAAAACATCTACTTTACCCGTTTATTAAACGGGTCAACCTGCCAACCCGCTAAAATACCTATGTAACCTGCCAACGCAACACCTGTTTAACTCGTTTATTAAACAGGTCAACCCACTAACCCGTTAAAATACCTATATAACTTGTCAATTAGCTAAAATACCTATGTAACCTGCCAACTCATTTCTTTATTTTTTATTCATTTTCCTTTTTTTTATTTTTTTATTTTTTTAATTTCTCATTCTCAATCTTAGAGAGAGGCAAAATGCAATAATTATTTTATATAAAAAAAATATAAAATGCAATTACTTGATTAATTTATCAAAATTGAGATTATTTTATTTTATTTTTTATTTGCTATCACTTAGTGGGTCAACCCGACATGAGCTGAAACCCGCACGAAAAATAAACGGGTCAACCTGAAAATGACACATTTATTAAACAGGTTGGGTTTTAGTTTAGCATTCTTTACACGTATATAATCCTGACACGACACGAACCCGAGACGACACGACACGACCCATATTAGAGGCTAGAGTTGAGCTACAAGTCTTCGACCTCATTTGAAAATAATTTTGTAAGAAGCACATTTGTTTATAACCGCCTTTTTATAAGCACATTTATTAGAGAACGTTAAAAATTTATTGAAAATTAAAGTAATTAAGCATTTTGAGGTCATTTTTGAATTCTAAGATATTAGAAGCGTCTTTGATTCCTAAATCCAAGTAATTAGAGCTTTTGTGACTTAAAAAATACAATATCATAAGCGTCTTTTATCCCTTTCGAAAGCACTACAAACATATCATTCGTATTGTACGAGATATCATGCTCAATAGAAATTAGAAAATGATTTTCTCACTCCCTTTTTATCTACCTACACTCCTTTTTATTTAGAAAAATTGAGTATAAGTGGATAAAAAGGGAGTGGGAAAATCAGTACCCTTGAAATTTAAGAAAGCAAAATAACCAAAAGCGATGGTGTGGCTATGATGCCAACAAACGTATCCGTTCAATCAGGTTCTAGTTTTTGTTTGCAATCTCCACGACGTCGTTTGCTTTATCTACTGGCTGTAACGACACCGTCAAGACCGGCATAGCCGTTCAACGTTACAAAAAATATAAAATAATAAAGGCCGGCCTTGTGACCGTTACATCACCTCAAATTCAAAAACTACAGAGAAAGCCTCCTCGCTTACCCAAATTAGTCATCATAGTCAGAAATGAGAGAAACCCAACAAGATCAGCAAGTAATGGCAGAAGAGCAAATGCAGCAGTTCAGATCCAAAGCCACAGAGCTCCTTCTCAGAGAAGAATGGAAGGAGGCCGTACAAGCATATTCTCACTTCATCAGCCTCTGCCAAGACCAGGTCTCAAAGACCCCTGAAGACCCAGAACATCTCCTCAAGCTCCATAAATCCCTCTGCTTAGCCCTCTCGAACCGAGCCGAAGCACGATCCAGACTCCGGGATTTTGCAGAAGCCTTGAGGGATTGCGATCAGGCATTGAAAATTGAGAGTACCCATTTCAAGACTCTTCTCTGCAAAGGTAAGATTTTGCTGAATCTGAGCAGGTATTCAATGGCATTGGAATGCTTCAAAACAGCTCAGCTTGATCCTCAGGCTAATGGGAGCTCTGTTAGCCTCAATGGGTACTTGCAGAAATGCAAGAAGCTCGAGTTGATGTCGAGAACTGGAGCTTTTGATCTCTCTGAATGGGTGGTTAACGGGTTTCGCGGAAAGCCTTTGGAGCCTGCTGAGTACATTGGAGCAGTGCAGATAAAGAAATCTGAGATTAGAGGGCGAGGCCTGTTTGCAACAAAGAACATTGATGCTGGGACTTTGGTGTTGGTCACCAAAGCAGTTGCCACAGAGAGGGGTATTTTGCCTGATCAAAATCTGGATGAGAATGCTCAATTGGTCATGTGGAAGAACTTCACTGAAAAAGTTATCGATTCGGTGGCTAAGTGTTCGAGAACCCTGGATTTGATCAGTACATTGTCAAGTGGTGAAGATGAGGATGAGCTTGAGGTCCCTGAGATCAATCTGTTTAAGCCTGAGTCAGAGCATATTGGTGGCTACCCAAATGAGAAGCTTGATGTGAACAGGATTCTAAGCATCTTGGATGTCAATTCTCTTGTTGAGGATGCAATCTCTTCTAAGGTTTTGGGGAAGAACAGTGACTATTATGGTGTCGGGCTATGGGTACTGGCTTCATTCATCAACCATTCGTGTGTTCCCAATGCAAGGCGTTTGCATGTTGGAGATTATCTAATAGTTCATGCTTCCAGAGATGTCAAGGCTGGGGAGGAGATAACATTTGCATATTTTGATGTGCTTTCTCCATTGGACAAGCGCAATGAAATGTGCAAGACATGGGGGTTCAGGTGTGATTGTAAGAGGTGCAAGTTTGAGGAGGATTTGTATTCAAGGCAAGACATAAGAGAGATTGAGATGGGTCTCAAAAGAGGAGTAGATGCCGGTGCTGCAGTTTATAGGCTGGAGGAAGGCATGAGAAGATGGACGGTGAGAGAAAGGGAGAAAGGGTACTTGCGAGCGTCATTTTGGGATGCATGCTCTCAGGCTTATAGCCCAGAGAAGTCGGCGAGAGGGTGGGGAAGACGGATACCACCAATGGATTCGGTGGTCGATAGCATTGCGGAAGCTGTGGGAAGTGATGAGAGGGTGTTTAAGATGGTGGTGGAGAAGTTAAAGAAAGGTAGTGGGGGAGTTGTGGAAATGGAGAGAGCTTTGAAGCTGGGAAGAGGGGTGTATGGGAAAGTTATGAAAAAGCAAGCAATGAAAAGTCTTCTTGGTCTTGGCATTCTTTAAACGAAGCTATTAACTAATAGCTAAAATTTCCAATTTTTATTATATTCCCTTGCTGATTTTTTGTTCAACTTAATGAAATCTGCCGACTCTTTCCTTTATTTTACCTCATATTTTACTGATTAGCTGCTTTGTATTAAAAGCTTTGTGTTAGGATCCTCTCAAGAGAAGAATCCTCCCAAGAGTTTTGTTCTCAGAATTTTTCCATAAGTCAGTGCTAGAATTTCTCAGCATAAATTAACTTCGGCAGTTATCAAATTAAAATTTCAAAATTTGCTACTCAACCAGACTTGTACGATGGATCGATTTCAGAGAATATAAACTGAAATTACTGTATTTACTGGAGATAAACACATTGAGAATGGCAATAGTGTTCTTATTTCAATCAATGAAGAGGCGGTAAATGCAAACACAAGGGCAATAATTTAATTGTAAAAATCCAAAACCCTATCTCTAAGTTCATTTTCCCTTTCCTTTTAACGGTCATCAAAGGAAAATGCAAAAATTCAACCGACTCCAAAATAAAAAATAATTTGGAAACCAAATACGCTTCAGATCTCAAAA